AATTAAATTTTAATACTTAGAAATATTTTTTCCATATATTCGTTTTAACTTATTTAACTAATTTAGATTTTTTACATTTTAGTTTTTAATATCTTTATCTTTTTCTATTTTTTTATTTCTATTTTCCTCTATATTGTATTCGTTTGACTTAAACATACTGGAGGTTCAAAGGATTCAAAAAACTGTAAAAAAAAATACTGTAAAAAATAAACAGTAACTGAATTAAATGCATTTCATTTCTGAAATTACCACTTTGGGGATTCAATAAATTGCACTGATCTATTCACTGTATCTACATTACATATCGATTAATAATTAATAATATTAACTGAACAGCATTTCTTAAATCTAACAGTATTAAAAAGATCACTTACCCAGTCTTAACTCGGTGCCTTGGCCAATGCTGCCATGCCACAGTGGAACAGTGCTGTACAAAAACCTCAGCTATGTAGCCCAACACTTCTGCTTCTGCTGAACACCTCAGTGTTCATCATTCTGTGTTTAAAACAAGAGAAATCAGGAGAAATTAATCAAAAGTTATATGTGAAACCATAAAGACCTGATGACTAAACTCTTCCTCACTAGAACTGAGCTACTGGACTTAATCAGGGGGGGCTCTAGTCCAGCCAGGATGCTCTGGAGGTTTTTGTATGAGGGGCTCACTGAGCTGCAGCACTGTGATGCGAGTCACAGATGATGCAGCCACAATAATAAACTGCCTCGTCTTCAGCCTGAACTCCATTAATATTCAGATATTCATTCAATCCATTGTCAGTGTAAGTGAATCTGCTGGGAAGACCACTGGCCCTATTGCTATCAGCTAGTATGAAGGTAGGAGTACCTCCAGACTTCTGCTGGTACCATGATATTGTGTAGCCACTGGTACTTTTTCTACAGACAATCTGGACATTCTGCCCCACAGTGAAGTCAATGGATTTGTCCTGGGTCAGATGCACTATGGCCTCCAATCCTGTGAAAACAAAAGGACACTCTGTAGAAGTTTGCTTGAAATGTCAATTTCAATGAACAAAAGCAAAGTTCAAATCAAATACTGCTTCTTCATAGAAGAATCTTTCATTAGAGTCATAAAAAAGTGAACCTTCTAGACTTGTCCAGTGTACTGAGTGTCCCTTACCGGAGAGAGTGAGCAGGAGCCCAGCGACTGAGGTGGCTTTGAGGATCATATTCATAGGTTGTGTAAAGGATCAGATCAGAAATGAGAGACAGGTCTTTGACTTTCAGAGCAGGACCCACACTCACACACTGCTTCTTATAAAGAGAGCCAACAAACAGTACCACGTAGCGCCGCCTTCATCCATGCATGCAGTTACAGCGCCAGTCAAAAATATTTGCACACACTTGACTGCATCTGTGATCTGTATAACATTAAAAGACAGAGATTTTCATTGTTATTACTGAAGCAAAGAGAATGAAAGTGAGGGATAATCTGGCTCCACAATCAAAACAGGAAATTACATATATTGTGATAATGCTTGAATATTCTTCAAAGCTCATGTTGATAATGTCACCAGAACAACTTTCTTTGATATAAAAAATATAGAACAAGTTAGATTCTTTCTCATACTTTAAGGTACTAAGAAGGTGGTCCATGTTTTTGCCATTTCACAACTAGACTATTGTCATGCGTTATTCACAGGACTACCTAAACTACAAATAATAGGTTCAGCTTGTTCAGAACGCTGCAGCCAGAATATTAAAGCAGAATTCTACCAATTTATAGAAAATATCTGCATAATTCAGGGGATGAGAAGTGAACAGAGTCAGTCAGAGAGGTTTGATATGAAAAGTTCCATTCCAGAGAAACTTAACACCCCATAGAATCTTTACAGTGGTGGTGATTGGACCCAAGTGTTGCCATGTCTACAACACGAATATAGCCATTTTATTTACTATCAAAAACCACCAGTGAACCTACATTTTTCTGAGCTTTTAGAATGAATATTGATGAAGGTAAATAGTGCTAAATTAAAAATCTCTGGCTATCATTTGGTTATTATTTTTTTTTTTTATCCAAATGTAACTTTGAATTTGATTTTATTAATCCAATTTAGTTTCTATTTCAATTTTTAATTGACTGATTTTCTCTTAAATCTACTGTTTTAATCATGTTTTAATTTCCAGTCTCCCTTACTTTTATAAATGACTGCATTTTCTCATTTGTACAGCACTTTGAATGACAAGTGCTATATAAATAAACTTGCCTTGCCTCATTTTTCTTTACAGCACTCTGCATGTATCTCTCCACCATGAACGGATTAAAGGTTTTAGGCCAAAACCTTGTCAAACTATCATGACACAATGTATAAGACAGTGTGCAGTGGAGGCGGGGGGCAAAGGAGATCCTTAGGGGCTTGTGCTCTTGCCCTAATTTGACTCAAAATTAATAGTGCCCTTTTCTGATTAGCTCTAAATGCTTAATGTGCCTCAATACATCTATGTCATGAAGCAATATCCACATTATACAAGCATTGAAGTATGATACCAATATCAAAACTTAAGGATGAAGTTGGCTTAATCTTCGCCAGCTTCTTATTTGAATTTTCTGTCCCACCTTAAATGGAGCAGTAGTTACATTCTGACACCAGTACAGATGCTGGCAAACTGCTGCATGATTTAAGGTTGAGTGGAAAATTCGAATGAGAAGCTGGCAAAGATTATGCTAATGTCAGCTTCGTCACACTGACGGGAGTAATTTCTGGTTTCCTTTCTTCTTTCTAATCTGATATCGTAAAACGTTGTGAAACATTTCTGCTTTATAAAATATTTTCAACAGACTACACTTTCATGAAGTGGTGGGGACAAAATTGTGCATTCCAAAAATTGCTGGAGACCAACCAGCATCCCCAGTGTAAACTGCACCTATATCTGTATCTGTTACTTCATTTACTCTGTTTTTAGGCCCAGCAACTGCAGTGGAAAGTCAACCATGACGAGTCATCTGTTAGAGGAAAAACAAGAACAAGAACAGAAACTGCATGCAAATCTGAACTCTGGGGACTCAAACTGAAACTCATTTTAATAACATTCTGCTTTCAGTACTGAGCCTCTAAAAATTACTGGCACAGTTTAAAGTACTGTTTAAAACTTGTCATATTAATCATGTTTAATAACTTAATATTTAATAATGGCTTTTATAATGCAGATTTAAACATCACAAACTAGACACAGGTAGTTTTGGATGTTTTATTCAATATTTCAAGTATTGTAGGAGCTACAAGAACTACAGTGATCAATAAAATACAGTAATTATTGATTATATAACTTATCTATCTCAACATTTGATCATGAGATTTTAAACATAAGGCACTCAGGATGGTAATTTTATTAGATCATTGTCAATATTATACAGCTTTCTCAAGCAATTTACAATAATGTGCAGCTTCAATTATCACTGTAGATGCATTTAATATGTCTCTTTGTTTACAAGACGAGCATATTAGAAGAATTTTATACTTGTACCTAAAATTAAATTGGGTTTATATTAAATACATTAATTCATTGATATGTTTAACTATTAAACAGAAGTACAAGGTAAAACTTGTACTTCCACTAACTGGCCACTTTATTAGAAACCCCTGCCATGTACTTCCACTCACTGGGCGCTTTATTAGAAACAACTACCTTGTACTTCCACTAACTGGCCACTTTATTAGAAACCCCTGCCCTGTACTTCCACTCACTGGCCACTTTGTTAGAAACCCCTACTCTGTATGTCCACTCACTGGCCACTTTGTTAGAAACCCCTACTCTGTATGTCCACTAACTGGCCACTTTATTAGAAACCCTGCCTTGTACTTCCACTAACTGGCCCCTTTCTTAGAAACAACTAACGAATATTAAAGGGGAATTCTACTGATTCCATTCCATTTTCCACTGAACACTTTTGCGTACTTCAATCACTGAGAAGTAAACAAAGTCATTCAGAGGGATGTGAAATGTTCCATTCTTGAAACACCTACCAGAAATGTTCACAGTAGCAGTGATAGGAACCAGACCTCGGAGGAGTTAATGCCTCTGAAAGCTCCCTCACAGAAAGTTAATATATGAAATGGTCATTAATGCACTGCCTGAAATTAGATATGCTAATTTTGACAAGCTTTTGGCATGAAATATATTTTTTAAATACCTATTCATTGCAGAGAGGTATATGTAGGGCATTGTACAGCAACATAGTTCCCAAAGAACAAGTATGTTTTCAGATTTTCCACCATTTTACCATCATCTACAGTATAAATAAAAACTCAAAAGACTAATATAGGTTCACTGGTCATTTTGGTCAGTAAATGAAATGGCTATTTGCATTGTGTACATCGTGACCCCTCGTTCCCAGCACCACCACTGTAAAGAAATCAGTTGGTAAGATTCTTTATGCCTTATGCAGAATCCCCTTAAAAACCACTACCAGTCAAAAGTTTGGACACACCCACCTGAAAATGTATTTTTATAATTACTGTGTAAAGACTTATTTAATGCTTTCTAAGACAAGTCTAAATAGTGAAGTTGACCTGTGTATAAAATTATGCCTAAAACAAAAATTTAAAATTTAAATTCCAAAAATTGACAGATACATTTTCAAAACACCACCGCAAGTGTTTTTCAGCGACGACAAGGTCTCAGCATGTGTGCATCTTCTTAGAAAAGCATCTCAAGTGGGTCCTCATGAAGCTGCTAGCAAATGAGGGCTAATTTCTAAAATCTTTCTAAACCACAGCAAGATGCTTTCTTTTGGTCCCTGCACAAGTCCATATGTGTTTTTTCATAGTTTTGATGTCTTCACAATTATTTAATTATTAAATTCAATTATTAAATGTGGGAAATAGTAAAAATAAGAAAAACAGGGTAGGCGTGTCCAACCTTGTGACTGATAGTGTATGTATTATACCTTTCCGGTGAGTGGACAGTGTGCTGATTTGCATTGTGACCAGAGTGATTGTGGGTTTATATATTGGAAAGCTCAAAACATAAATCTGCAAATAAAATCAATTAAAAGTCCAGATTCTGATGTGATAGCAGAGACATTTTACTCAGAAAACTTGCATTTACTCAGCAATACAACGACATTACGACATGAGACATTTAGCTTTTATAGCACATTGAACAGGATGTGTAATTGCTGACATATAAACTGACATCATGTTGACTTTTATTAGAACTTTGCAGAATATAAAATCAATAGTACTGATATGAAATTTCAACAGTAGACATGGAACATTACGAAACACCAGTCTTTCATATGGTGGGTGGGGAAGTTATGCAAATCAGGCTGAGCATATTTTACCAAGAAATGTAACAAGCTGTGTTAGCATCAGTGAGCCTTTTGATATATTGGCGCCTTATGTGATTGCTCTAGCTACACTGACCCACACTGACACTCTTGGTCAGTGTGCTGGTCAGTGCTGGGTGGGTCAGGCTGCAGGTGTAGGTGCGTCCTGAGGTCCAGCGTCCAGCATTCAGTTTCAGGATGCTACTCTGGGAGAAGGTGCCGTCGGGCTGGCGCTGGGATGATCCAGTCTGGACCTCAGAACCCGCCACAGCGCTGCCGTCCTCAGCCCAGGACAGAGCAACACTGTCAGGGTGGAAGCCCCTCGCCATACAAACCACATTGACCTCTCCAGACTGGACAGACTGGGAGGGAGCCAGCAGGGCCAGCGATGGAGGAGATGCTGGATGATCAGAAATCACTAGAAAAATAGAAAATAGAAAAGGAACAAATGTTGGTGCCAAAAAGATTAAATTAGAGTCATAGACAAAAGTTTTTCTGCCCCCAGAGAAATTATGTTTTGATAATTTTCTAAAATTTTCATAAATTTCCCTTTTAGAGAACACACTTAAATTTGCCATTGTTGCTGCACATTTTAGTGCACATTTTTTTATTTCAATTTATTTTAATCACTAATTGAGCATCAAAATATTTCAATTAAATTAAAATATGTGTTCTTTTGTAACTTATTTCTCAAAACAACCAACCAAACATGGGTGCCCACACTTTTCTTATGACTGTATTTATGGTAGTGCGGTCATGTGAGGACAATGTTTGAAAGTGCCATGTAATTTTGAACTATTAGAGGAACTATTTTATCATTATTTTATTTATTTTTAGAAATAAATGATTGTCAAATTTTAAAAAGGAGAAAATATTTCAATTTTTTAATTATTTTAATTCATTCATGCCTATATGTGAAACTTTTCACTTCTTTTGGTGCATATGTCCAAGCTTGCCCGAGCACAAATCTAAAACATTTTTTTCTTTTTAAATCTGTGACACTCTGCAGCTACAATGTGTTTTTCTCGTGATGTATTATCAAATACATATATATAGATATACAAAAATATCTATTTGATAACAACAAAAGGGGGCCTTCAATGTATTACTTGTGTTTTCTTTTATGTTCCCCTTTTTTTCAAGTATTAACTTACTAAGCGTGAAGTAGAGTTCCAGATATTTATTTCAAAAGGCAAGATGAGGTTCCATGTCAGCCTATTTAAATTATATTAACAGGTTCTTTCTCTTAAGCAGAAAAAGGACAACATAAAAACAAATTATATAATAACAGACTAATAAATATGTACATAAATAAATAAATAATTGTATTATTCTTTGGAATATTGAAGTGGTATTCACATACATGCACTAAATCTCACATGTGGAAACAGAAAAGTTACTCAGAAAAGTTCTGGGTAATGGTTGTATGTAGATGTTTTCAATAAGATAAAATCAATTTTGCTGCAGATGTGTGTACAAAATCATTCCAAAATGATGTTTATGTTGTATAAGTTTCAAGTAATCTGCAGGAAGCTACAGAGCTGCAGATGACTCCATAAAAACCGAGAAAGATGTGTAGCTTTTTTATGAACTTACAATACAATTAGTAGCAATAGAGAATGCCTCATATTCAAAACATGGTGACAAAATCTCTGATCAAATAACTACTATATTGCTATAAACACATCACAGTTACTAACACACAAATTGCTATAGATATATAATTACATTTTTTTATTAACATAGCGCTGTTAAATTGTCAATAACTGATTGGCATTTTCATATTTTCTGAATTTATCTTTGAAAAAGCCTTGAATGTGATTGATTAAACACAGCAATTAAATATTAGAAAAGGCTTGACTTACCAACTTTCGTGCCTTGACCAAATGAAACATCTCCTCCTCACAGTCTTAGAAGGCAGTACAAAAACCTCAGTACATCAGGCTGTTGCTGCTGCTGAAACTGAGAGCTTCATGACTCTGGATTGTAGAATTCATGCCAGCTAAACCAGAGGAAATAAGATTCCACAGAAAGCTGGTGTTTCAGTCACTGGTCATTTGGTATAGAGCTCATATTTGGCAGAAGCCAGTGGTCAAACAGACGTATAGAGGCCCCAGTGAACATAGAGGGTTTTTGTATGAGGACCTCACTGGACTGCAGCACTGTGGAATGTTGGACAGTTCAAACAAGCACAGTAGTAGACGGCTTCATCTTCAGCTTCTATTCCATTGATGTTCAGATAATCCTGGTTGTTGGAGTCAGTGTAGGTGAACCTGCTGGGTAACCCAGAGGCTCTTTCATCATTTCGCAGCAGAAACTTTGGGACACCACCAGCTTTTTGTTGGTACCATGAAATGTAATATTCATCATCTTGTGCAGTGCAGAGTATCTTCACTGTGCTCTTCAGAGTCACTGACTTGGACTTCTCCTGGATCAGCTCATACGCTGCCAAACCTGATTGAAGTGAGTTTTAGTGAGTACAAAATGAATGCAATAACATGTGTTATTAGACAGTGTTATGTCAGGTATACAATATCTGCTAATATTAAAATATCTCAAAAGAGCAAATAGAGGTTAAAAGAAAGAATTCATTTTTACAAACGTTTAAAGAAAAAATAATGTTCTTACCTGACAGTGTGAGCAGAAGTCCAGCAACAGAGGCAGAGTTGAGGGTCATCATGGTCACCTCTGTCAAACAACAGTGAGAGTGGAGAGTGAGACATGGTGGCTTATAACAAGAGCGGGACAGGCGCAGGTCCTAAGTGGGTGGGAGGGGGAGAGAGACAAACAGAGAGAGAGTAAGAAAGAGAGAGAGAGAAAGAGAGAGAGAAGGAAAGAGAGAGCAAGAGAAAGAGAGCAAGAGAGAAAGAGAGAAGAGAAAACTATTATGCCCTTGTTAGCCTTAACAAGCCAATAGATGGTAATTAACTGCTTATTACTGCTTTATTAAGTAATAACTAGAGTGAATTGAGCATGTTTCAGATCTTTTTGATTTTTATTTCCACTTAAATTTGTGTGTTATACATCACAATCTTTAGCACAATTTTAGATCCATTGTTATGCCTTTTGTTAAGCCTTATCCAGCTGGTAAACTTATCAAGCCGATAACTACATCAATTCCATATACCATCCATATCTAAAAGAAACAAGTATCTCCTTTTTTATGTTTATTTTTTTATATCATTTGATGTAGAAAAGCACAGCAGCTGCTCTTTTTCATTGTGTGAAAATTTAATGATGAATGGACCAATAGAAATGCTCTAGAGCTGCTTGCAACAAAATCTCTTTCCATTAACTTACATTAAAAGTTTAAAAAAGTTGTTTACCATCTTCTTTAAAGTTACTATTTTGGAGATGCTTCTTTTTCTTTGGACAGCAATGATATATAAGATAATGGTTGTGATGTGTAAGATTATGATATTATTACAACACACAAATAATTCACTATAGTTACACTGTGCTAGTTTTGGGGATTTGGAGACCTCTCTGGTGGAAATGTGTAATTGCATGTATAGTATTGAAAAACATTTTGTAACGTGTTGTGCTTCGATCCCCTACCCTGATCGGATGAACCTGATGATTGCGAGTGAGTTGAAAGTGTATTAAAGATAAGAGTCAAAATGTAATGAAGGACATGTTGTTTGAGGATTTTTATGAATTATCTACTATTGTCATCAGATCAGATCAGATCAGTATAATGCTAAATTTTTAATTTGAGACTTAAACATCAAACCAGACCTTCTTTTTGAGTCTGTATGTTGACCAAAAAAATCCCACCAACTCTGACGCAATACCTCTGACTAGCTCTGAACTTTTGTATGTTTCCTGACTCAGTAATGCTACTTCTTTCGGTTTTTACAAAAACAACTTACATAGTGCAGCTTTAAAACTGTATAATAAGGAGTCAATAATACTGATAACAATAAATAAAGACATTAATAATACTGTACTCAGAAGCTAGATAACTACTTGCTTCTAGTTTGATAAGGCTTAAAGGGCAATTCCACCAATTCCTCTAAATTTTGACATAATTAAATGGTTAAAAAAGAGTGGTTGGTGTGAAATGCTCCGTTCTAGGGAAACTTAGTGTCTAAAACTCCCTCACAGAACACCCTTTACATGAAATGGTTATAAATGCATTGCCTGATGTCTGACATACTGTTTTACAATAGTTTTGGAAAAGTGCTGCCCTGAAAGATATATATTTTTAATACATTCATGGTGGATAAGTACATGCAGGCTACTACAAGGAAAAATTGTGGCCAAAAAAAGATACTTTTTGTTACCATCGTTTTACTTTTATCAACATTACAAGTGAAACCTTGAGACACGTGTAGGTTCAGTAGTGGTTTTGAGCAGTAAATAAAATGCTAAAATTAAGCAGAGATTTTGAAGAATGGGTGGAATTCCCCTGTATGAGTGTGTGTGTGTATGTGTGTGTGTGTGTGTGTGTGTGTGTGTGTGTGTGTGTATACGCACCTGCATGTGTCTACATTTGCGTGTGTGTTTCAGTTCCTCTTCCGTACTGAATCTCAGTGTTGTTTCTCTGTGTTGTTCAGGTCAAGCTCTCTGCACACCTGCACTGACCGGCAGCCTCAGACTCTGACACTCACACTGACCATCGAACATTTAGGGACACCTCACTTTTTAAAACCGCTTTAAAAAGGAGCATTCTTTCTTTATCGGTTTGCTACAGCTTAACATTAAATAGAAAACAGTAACACTCTTAAATGAAGAGGGTTCTTCAAGGGTTCTTTACTAAAAGGAACGGTTCTATATACGGCCATTTGTGTTGTATATGGTTCTATACGGCACCTAAAAGGGCTCTTCTGTTGTTTCTAGCTTGACATCATAAGAATAGCAGAACCCAAATACTGGTCAATATTTGTGTAAATGTAAATGTAAGTTCTCTCATAGTGTAGGTACTTACACTCCTCCTATTACAATCAGAAATGTCTTGATGGAAAAACAGCAGTTTATACACAAGTATGTTACACATGTGTAATTACATAAAAGAAAATATGCTGTTACAACTATCAACACACTCACACACACACATTTTCGAATGCGCTTATCCTTCTGGGTCACGGGAGGAGCTGGAACCTATCCCAGTGGTCATTGGGCGGAAGGCAGGAAACACCCTGGACAGGTCATCAGTCCATCTCAGGGCAGACAGACAGACGTGTACATTCACTCAAGCACTCACACCTAGGTGTAATTTAGTATGTCCAATTGGCCTGACTGCATGTCTTTGGACTGTGGGAGGAAACCCATGCAGACACGGGGAGAACAGGCAAACTCCACACAGGAAGGACCCCGGTCGCCCGGCCGGGGAATCGAACCCAGGCCCTTCTTGCTGTTTCAGTTTTAATTCAGTTTCTACTGAAATTGGTTTACTGGCATGAATTGCAATCAACAACTGTTGCTCAATAGCTTAATATTAAAAGTGGTAATAATCATCATCATCATCATCATCATCATCATCATAATAATAAAAACAAAAAATACAGACACATAGGACAGAAAATATATAGACACAAACATACATTATACAAAAAAGGTCATGTCACTAATATATATATATATATACCCATATATACACCCATTAGTAACATGTATGGACAATGGCTGACCACAAGAATAATAAAAAATAGTATATTTAAGATCAGTGAAGATGTTCTTAGCAAAGTTTTAAAGAGATTCCTAAAGTAAACATTTTACATGCATACAATAAATAAATAAAGAAAGAAATAAATAAAACTGATGGGTGGTGTACATACCCACTACGCTTAACAGAAAAGTAATGTGTGAACGTCTTAATATCCAGCTGTGAAATTTGTGCCATAACATTTCATCAGAATCCACAAAGGGGCTTTTATTTTGACAATGTCTGATTAATCATCAGATTTACAGAAATGTATACAGTATTTCAGCATTACACTCACTGTGAACTCACAATAAGTGTATTCAAATGCTCACATGCTATTTCAGCAACTTTGCATGAGCCGAACTCCAATCACAAGAATGAAACAGACCTCAGCATTAAGGCCGCTAAAGTGCAGCCTTTTATACCATTCTTAACCAGTAGGGGGCAGGATTGATTTACACATGACATCTAAGAAGTCCACCAGGTGGTGCTGTGAGCTCAATAAGAACAAAATGGAATTAAAATCTGCAGTTTCTGCAGACTTAAAGACATTTTGCCTTCTGAATGTGCAGAATAATCCATATATCTGGCAATAAATATACTGTAGAAGTCTATTTATTCACATTAGGATCAGAGGTGGAGGACAAAAATGGAAGGAATGGGAATGAAAGGGGTTCAAATGTTGAAGCTAATAAATCTCAGTTAACACACATATTGCTGGTCTTATCTTTCCCCCCCTTTTTCTTATTATTCCATTTTTTTAATGGCAAGTGAGGAGCATCAAGGATGATGACCCTCAGGATGGAGTAGCAGTGGTCCATAACGGTGATGTTTTGGTCCAGTTCTCCTCTATTTTTTTCTTCCAAATAACAGAAACCCAGCAGACAAAACCCAGCAATAAACCTGAAAATCCCACTTTTCACACATGCATTTCAAACACTGTGCCATTGTGTAATCAACACTGACCCATCAAGACCTTTCGTTTGAGGAAAGTAGCTTAAGTTTTCCTTCATCTGGACGGGTTAGGATTTGGAGAAACCCAAAGAAAGACGATCACATGCTCACCATGTGATTTGGGTCTGTTCTTCTACAACATGGCCTGATTTTTTCAGCTACAGTTGGTTTAAGACATGCCTAGAAGCTTGAAGACCATGAAGACCAAAGACACATCCATAATTTGAGCCAATGACTCAGAGACCCTCAGGGAATGAGAGCTGGTCTTTGCTTTGCTGACCACAGATGCAAAAGCACAACGTGAATGCTCCCTTTTGATGGAAGTCAGAATCAATATGCTAGTCACATTTTACCTATTTATTCTTTTTTATTGTTATTATATATTTTTTTCTACATTTTTGTCGTTATGTATCCTGTGTGTGTGTGTGTGTGTGTGTGTGTGTGTGTGTGTGTGTGCTGCATTGTTTCCCCAACATCCAATGAAATGAGCCCTGCCCCATTGTCGTCATCCAACATCGCCGATACAGCTCGCTGATTGGCTGCAGCTGCGGCTGCGGCAACTGTTTCACTCTCATGCTGCCATTCAAGAATATTCGGGGAGGGGCGTGGCCACGACTGATGAACACGCCTCCTTTATAAAACTTCGGCTTGCTGCACAAAAATTGATAGTGCAAGTAGTGGATGGAGTAAGAGTCTGCTGTCCTTTGAGCAACAAGTCAGCGCCCGATCTCAGCGCCTGTGCATCAAGTCCGCGCGCTGGTAGCGTGAAGGAGACCTGACCTGCCCCACTTGCATCATCAGCTCATAAGCGTGCAGGCGTGAAGACCTACATGTCTGTATACTGTCCTCAAGTCTACTGGTAAGACCCTTTCTGCAGTCCTGTTGTCAGTTATCATGGGCTGATAATGCGTAATATCTGGGGATGCGGTCCGCTCTGCTCGGACAGCGTCTGCGGTGGTCCGCGACTTGCAGCAACAAGAGGTCCTGACTAACTTCGCCTCAGTTTAAAACACTGTGGTGAAGCCAACTTCCTATTCGCCAGCTTCGTACTCGAATTTGCCCGTTCCACCTTAAATGGCGCATAACTGCTGCACCATTTAAGGTGGAACGGGAAGATTCGAGCAAGAAGCTGATGAGTAGGAAGCTGACTTCTGCCTCGCGTGGGGGGGTCTGTCCCGTTACACGCTGCTCACTGCGTTAAATGAACTGGTTGACTTTAGTTTGAACGTTGAAAAAACACAGAGAAGACCGAAGAATTGAAGTAAAATGAGTATTTTTGTTTAACGTAGCGTCGACGTTGGTTTGAAAGAAGCGGAACGTCGTTTTTCTTTTGACGAATTTTCCGTTTGTTTACCTCTTGTTACGCTTCTTTGACAGAACATCACGTTTGCGTTTACGTTTACTTCGTTCACTTCAACTGGACGTTGATTTCGTGGATGGAACGTCGCGTTAACGTTTCGTTCGTTAATTTGAATTTGACATCGCTCTTACGTTTTTATGTACATAAAACGTCGCTTTAGCATCTAAAATGTAATAAAACAAAGGTTTCGTTGACACTGTTGACACTTTGACACACACATTATTATGATTTATGCAGTTTATGATATTGCACGCTTCATGTAGAGTTGCGATGCACCAGGAAATTGTTGTTTTGGATAGCTATAAGTACACTCTTAAAAAGGATGGTTCTTCAAGGGTTCTTTAGTAAAGAGAATGTTCCTGCTTAGAACCATAGAGTCCAACATAGAACACTTCATGCTTAAATTGTTCTTTGCATGGTAAAATGGTTCTTCAGATTGATGGAGAATGTGTTGTATATGGTTCTACAAACTTAAAAAAATGGTTCTTCTAGGGTTCTTTAGTAAAGAAAATAGTTCTATATGGAACCATGAACACTCAAAGAACCCTTTGCATGACTACTGGGTTCTTTGCATCATGAAAGCCTTCTTCAAATGAATAGAGAACTATTTTATATGGTTCTATATAGATCCTCTTTGAAAAGGGTTCTTCTGTTGTCACAGGACTTGACATCGTAACAACAGAAAAACGCTTTTTGGTGCTGCATAGAACGCTTTTTAAAAAGGTTCTGTATAGAATCATGTATAGCACATTCTCCATCAATCTGAAGAACTATTTAACAACATACGCAAATAATCCTTTAATCATGCAAAAGGTTGTTTGAGTGTTCGTGGTTCTATGTAGCACCATGTTCTTTCCCAAAGAACCCTTACAGAACCATTATTAGTGTCCTTAACACCAAAAGGTGTTCTGGTATTGTTACGATGTCAAGCTTGTCACAGTAGACAAACCCTTTTTTGCTTCATAGAACCATTTTCAAGAAGATATACATATAGAGCACATTCTCCATCAATCAGAAGAACCATTTGACCATGCTAAGAATGACTGAAGCATGCAGATGGTTCTGTATAGAACTCATGGTTTTCAATAGAACCATTTCCTTTACTAAAGCATTTCCTTGCCCAGCTTTATAAGTGCATAATCCATATATTAGGCACAGTGTGTGACTCACAGCGGAATATGCATATGTATTAGGAGGCATAATTCTGTTTCCACTCCAATTCAGTGCTGCGGTCGATGTGAGTCACAAGACTGATACCTTTCTAGTCTGTATAAAAGGTCATGTTCCATAATGAAAGGAACCAATCTCGGCACTCTGTAAGATCCACAGTAATACACCGCAGTAGGTAGGGTTATCCTTAGATCGGTTAGATCGGGCCTCCTTTGCAGCAAGTGCAGACATTGACCTGCGTATCACACAAGCATCTTTCATTAAGAGCAAAGTAATTCTGGTTGTTTTGAACAGGGAAACTAGACTGCCTGCCTGCCTCCCTCATTAGCCTCCCGTTGGCCCTCTGACATCACCATTCCAGCCAATGCTAATCCTGCCTGGCTTAAAGGCAAAGCAGGTTTGCCCCACTGATGCAGCCTAGTAGTCTGGACTCGACATCATCTGACCTTTTTTTGTATTCAAAGCGAACGTGCCTCACATGACAGTGGAAAACTGTGGTGAAAAAAAAGCAGGGGCCTGTGGATTTAGTCTTTTTTAAGCTAGAGGAAAGAACCAGCCCACCTCAGAGGAAAATGGAGGAGTGTGCAGGCCTTCTTTTGCAGTGCAAGAAGTGCAGACTTTTTTTTTTTCTATTCTGAGAATGTATATGAAAACAACAGTTCACCATTGATGACCCTGCAGTAGCAATGTCAGCGTCGCTTTGTTGAATGTTTTTATATAATTACTTCAAAAACTGTTGTGTTCTGGGCAGGAAGTACGAGCCTAACCTCCTTAAGTGAACTTCAGATGTCTCTCTTTCTTTGTGCAGTTAACTGTTTCCCTGCAGTAGCTTGCAATAGCTGGTGGTTTTGTTTGCAGAGGCGCTTGATCTTCTCACGCAGCTCCTCTCTCAAAGCGCTTGTGTTGCTTCTCTAAATATAAAGCCATCCTAGCCACACAGCTCGTGCTTGTGGAAGCCTGGGTGATTCCGAGGGTGTTTGACCGACGCTAAGCCCGGGTAATTTTCCTCTATTCGCTTTGTTTACGGTGTTCAAGAAGGTACCAGCAGGTGCCACGTATCAAGCTTCTTGTTAGCAAGTCAGATTGAAAACAGTTTATGGCATTTAGAACTTCCCCCTTACTCATGAATGGAATCATTTGTGTGGGAAACAATGGGGCTAACTGTAAAGAGCATTTGAGGAAAAAAAAAAACAAAATGGCATTGGAGAACCAAGAAGGTTCAATTTCCACATGGTGACCAGGCTCAAACAAAGGATGGTTTCTGCTTAGCATGGTTTCAAAGTGATTTTGGTCAGTTTTTACCTTTACTTTAAACGTGTGTGATCAACCGAGAGATGATTAGTGGCTGAAGTTTTCTTCTGTAGTTGTGTGAGCTATAAGGCTAATGTGGCTAACGATTAATGGAAGCTTATAATCCATTAGCATTATGCAAAGTACATGCAGACTGTGTTAAATAGACTTTCTCATGGGGTTTCTGGCACTGTATAATGTACTGTTATCTATAAAAATGGACTACAATACTCAGTGTTAAATACAGTAGAAACAGCAATCTTGCAGCCACATGAGCAAGTCTTTGAGATTACTTCCACCAGTTTTTAAGAAATTTCTGCAAAATTAAATGATGGAAAAAGAGTGGTTTGATGTAAAATGCTCTTTTCTAGAGAACCTACACGATGGTGATGATTGGAACCAGACATCTGAAGAGTTTACTGCCTCTGAAAGTAACATCACTGAAATGTATTGCTTGAAAAGATTATGCATACGCTGCCTGAGGTCTGAAACATTGTTTTACGATAGTTTTGGGACAAAGTTTTGACCTAAAACCTATTTTTTTCATAGTGGAGAGGAACATGCAGGGCATCGTAAGGCAAAATGGTCCCCAAAGAAGGCTTCATTTTTCCATTTAAGTTCACTGGTGGTTTTGGATCGTAAATAAAATGGCTTTGTGGACGATGTGACTCCTGGTTCCCATCACCAGCACTGTAAAGAAATCTGAGTCAATAAGCTACAGTGGGCCATTTCATACCGAGCCACTCTGAATGACTTTATGACATGGTTTGCATCTCAACGAATGAATTGTGTGGAAATTTTGAAAAATCTGTGGAATTCCCCTTTAAGAACGTGAGGCAGGTATTGCTTATTTAGGCATGCAGCTTGCTAGTTGTTGAGCTATAAGCTCCATTTGCTTGTTAAATCAAACTTGAGCAAAGACATCAAACCTGTTTTTGGTGATCAGGTAGGTAAGAAGACTGTGTATTTGTTTTTTTTAGCCAAACTATCACTTTAAAGCTCTGAGCTTGTCTGCTTGAATCCTCTTCCGGACCCCCATCGGTATGCTCCACTGACCAAACTATGAGCAATGACTTCCCTCCGTTCCTTCTGACCCTTCACTGGGCTCCTGGCTCCGCTGTGGCGCCTGCGTCAGTGGTGCAGGTTCCGCCTGTGTTTCGCTTTGGCGAGAGCGGGTGCTGGGCGCCAGCTTCCGTTCCTCTGGCCACCGCGCTGACGGATCAGATTTACAGCCGGAGCAGATGGGAAACAATGCGAGTTATGCACGACCTAATACCTCATCGTGTACCAGGCCACCGGCTGCCGTGAGGATGAGTCCAGTGAGACTGTGTCAGCACCGGGGGATGCGGTGGGGAGGCTGGTGGGGGGGCTATGAGTCATGGGCCTTCATGCCAATTCACCTATAGTCTTATAGTCATCATAGTGTTGACTCAGTAGGTTTGGAATAGTCAGTAGGTGATGACTTGCACTTGCACTGTTTATGTTTTATTTATATTCAACATATGCATGTTGTTGCTGTAAGAAAACCTCATAGCTTCATTCGTGCTTTAAAAATGCCCACATAATTAAATTAAGATGTAAACAAAGTCATTCAGAGTGGTTTGATGTGAAATGCTTACTGAGTCAGAACTGTTCACAGTGGTGGTGATGGGAACCAGACGTCTGAAGAGTTTAGTGCCTCTAAAAGCTCCCTCACTGAAAGTTATTACATGAAATGGTTATGAAGATTCAGCCTGACATCTGAGACATTGTATTCCAAACGTTTTGTGAAAGTTTTATCCCAAAATAAAATACATTTTCCATATTACTTCAATCATGGTGGTACATGCAGGGTGTTCCCAAAATCTTTCAGATTTACCACTATTTCACTATTATCAACAATGCATTTGTAACTTCAGAAGAATAGCTTTAAAATAGGTGCATTTGTGTTGTAGACATTGGTTTCTATCACTACCACTGTAAAGAAATCTCAGTCTAAGTTTCTCTACACTGAATCATTTCATACCAAACCACTCTGAATGACTTTCTGTACATCTTAA